TTTTTGACGTTTGTTAAAAATAAAATTAGATGATTTAGTTGGTATGACGATAGTGTACTTGGTCTTGAACATAGTAAACCATTAAAGTGCTACGGTAACTGGTTCAATTATAATTATTGGTTAATTAAAATTATTGATTTTTGAAAATTTGCTATTAGAAAATATTTCGAGTTAACATATTCGTTTGCCATGATGTGTAATAAATCCACTCGGAATACTTATAATAATTCATAATAATTTATTTTTTATTGATTAAGTCGATTATTTTACACATATCGGGAAGTTCATGTAACTTGCCTCAAGGCTAAATACCAAACCAACTAGTTAATTTTTTTATTCATAAGTAAACCGCATAATCAATTATAATAAAAATTATTTAGGCTCTTGTCAAGATATTGAGCCATTAAGGTATTGAAGTAATTTTCATCTAATGCATTAGTTCTTCAATATAATTCTTTATGGAAATGTAAAATTATATCGGTTACATTTTATGTAGTAGTGTTTTTTTATAACCTGATATTGCTATTTACTAAGATTTTATATGAGATTTACAGAATTATCTTTTTTTTTTTCAAAAATAAAAATTAGTATATCAGTTTTAAAAGCAGGTTCGTGAGCTTTGGAAACAAAGTGCTTGATTACAAGAATCTACATGAATATTTCAAAAGCTTGGTAGCAATTTTCTAAATTCTATTGCGGCTGCATATTCATCAGACATGAAATTAATTCTTTACTTTGAAAACTTTGCTATCGATTATGTTGATATATTTATGAAATCGATAAACACAACGCCCATTTTCAGTTTGTCGATGGTGCTACCTTTGCAACAGCCATTATAATGTTATTACGAAATAACCACAATGACTGCAAATGCAGACGCGGGCTAATGCGATTTATCACGCATTTACTATTAACGTGCATGACTGGTTATACCGTGCCGGAAAGTGCTATTCAATGTTATTCAATTACATTTTCAAGATTACAAATAAACCGATGTTCGGTTGTTTATTTTTAACACCTCGTCAAATGCCCACCTGGTGCAGACACAACAGAACAAATGGAAAAAATCACATAATAATAATAATTATTATTACCTGTTGTCAGTGGTGTTGTCGAGCCGGAACGCGCCGGAACGTCGTTTTAATTTAGTAACGAATTGAGGTGTATGAACTTCTTATAGAAAAAATAATATTTATAAATTGCATCTTACATTCATTCGCATTTCTTATACGCTATTCTACATCATAGGTTCCTATTCATGTATTTTTATAACCTTACGTGTGCCTATACGTTGCATTCTATGCTACACGCCTTACATGTGTACCATACGCTACATTTCATTATACTCTCAAATCCCTACATTGTATACCGAATACACCTAACCTATATCTACTATATATCCTATTACCTATAATTTCCATTACACGCTACATTAACCCTACCGAGAATCGAACCCGGGTCCGCCGCGTGGCACGCGACGACCTTATCCACTACACCACCGTAACGCTACAATCAACCGTCTTTTTTCGCGTGTCGTCGCGCCACCTTAGTATTAATTACCTAATTAATTAGAAAATGACCCGCGGAAACAACAGTGCGTCCCATATTATATTATTAGTGGGGGTACCCGATAGGGTAGTGGTTAAGGTGCGCGACTTCCACGCGGAGGTCCCGGGTTCAATTCCCGGTATAGGCAATAGAAAGGTAGAGATAATACATAGGGCGTAAGGTAAACCTATATAATATAGGTGAATATATAAATTAGACAGTAGTATTTATAAGAAGTAAAAGGTCTGTAGGTATATAATAAGTTAATGACGGTATAGGTATCTCACGGTATGATAGAAGATAATAGATATCTATATATGATATATAATAATATAGTATACAATAGTATACAATAATACATAGGTCGTAAGGTAAACCTATATAATATAGGTGAATATATAAATTAGACAGTAGTATTTATAATAAGTAAAAGGTATGTAGGTATATAATAAGTTAATGAAGGTATAGGTATCTCACGGTATGATAGAAGATAATAGATATCTATATATGATATACAATAATATAGTATAGTATGATAGGTCATAGGTTATCTATCATATTATTAGGTTAAGTCTTATAAAGTATTGGAATAAATCTTGAGTACTTTTATATCATAATAAATACCTGTAGGTATTAATGAATACAAATAATACCAGAATAAATATGATTAATGTCATTGAAGAATATAAATTATGTACTCAATGATTCCCTCATACTTGTACAATTTAATGTATAGACTAGCTGTGTATAATAGAGTTAATTATATAAAAAGTCAATATATTAGATTTGTGAGTTCTTATCAAAATATATCAAATTTTTTGAACCGGTTTATGAACCGGATTTTAAATTTTAGCGTTCCGGCAAAAAAAATATTAGCACAACACCACTGCCAGTTGTGATCATAAGAATAAGTGATATTTAACTATTTAAACTAGACATTAGTGGAATATACAATTATGTTGTCAATGATTTAATCCAAGTCAATATTTTTGAAATATTAGCAGTATTTATTTACTAAGAGGCGTCCATTAATCTCCCCTACTAAACATCACGTGTATTTTTAGTTACGCGAAGAAATAATGTATTTTTTAATTTTTCTTTAAATGTTTGGATTTTTTTTAAAAATCGGGTAAAACATAAATACACGAAATATCTTACTACACCCGTCCCTCTTCCACGTGATATTTTGTGATTTTTTGTAAAAAGCGTCCCCTCTCTTCCACAAAAAACCTTACGCGATTAATGGACACCCCCTAGGTAGAAGGGTTTATACAAAAACCGACATTTAAGAAAATCTGTGTTCAAATAGTCTTTTTTTCAAAAAGCTGATTTTAACCGGTTTCGAGTTTTCATAAAATATTTGCTCGAATAATTTGAACAAAAAATTTCAACAGAATTTCGGATGATTAAGGCAGTTTTTGACTCAAATTATTCACTTTTCAATTTTATTGATACAATAACAATATTGATATGTACAATTTTCATGCAATTTAGTAGAACAAAAAAAAGTCCAGTAAACCTTAAAAACAATTAATTATTTTTTGTTGATGCATGATTTTTGCACATAAGCGTTAATTTTTAAAATAATGGAACAAAGGATGACTATAGATTTGCAACAGTGTTTTCATCAATGAGGTACGCTTGGTTAAATTTGTCATTTTCATCAATAGAAACTTGATAATTTTGTACTACAAAACGGTTTTCGAATGCCTTAATTTTCTCCTCAAAAACCGTTTTAAAAACCCCCAAACCCTACTAAGTAACTAATGTTATATGCATTATTATTGCTATATATTTCGTATGTAGGTTTAATTTCAAGGTACAAAAGTGGTCCTAGCTGTTTCATATGCTAAACTCATCACAAGATATAAAAAAGGTACTTTTAAAATATGCTTTCGTGACGCGAAATTCTTTTTGAGACAAATGTGGTAAAATTTACATGCTAATTGGAAATCGCTAATTTACTTGTTGATTAATTTAGGAAGTCTAGGTATGTATAAGGGTTTAGGAATCGTATCGCATTGAGTATAACATTTGTGTTGTTAATTTATGAGCTGTTGTTTCAGCTTAAAACTATAGTTCTAGTTGCACCATGGACTCCGGTTATCTATTATGCAGTGCTGATCACTAGTCTAGCTCTATTTGCGACTTATTTATTTTGTCTGCGGAGGTAGTTTTAACCCAGTTAATTCTGATATGAAATAACATAGCTGGAAAAACAACTGATGGTCGACAACGAGTCGAGCTGTGATTAAATATTGAATATTGTCTGGTGTCGCCGGGCGGTTTAACTTTCGTGTTTGCGTTGCCTCATAATGAAAGCTGAAATATTTACACGGCCAGTTCGTCACAAAAGCTCCGAAAGCTCTAACGTTTTCGTTATAATCATTATTCGTAGAAATACCACAGAGACATACAAAGTTGCATGCGACCTATATCGTTCCTCCAGAGATTAGAGCGAACGGGTTGCTTTTTTAGGGTTTTTATCATTTTTTGACATTTGACAATTACAAGTGTCTTTTATTTTGATTTGTATATTGCTTAAAACGTGTAAAAAGAATTGTATGGAATTAGATGAGTTGAAATTTTGAAACGCGGTAATATATTCTTATAAACCAAACCCAAATGTTGGAAATTAGTATAGAATTAATTATGAGAATTGATTAAAGCTATTTACCGCCAAAGCATTTAATGTTTGTATAATTCAATGAACAACTGTACTTTGTCGCTTTGACGCTTACACAATATGTTTTACTTGGAAGACATCTAAAGGCATCTGTCACGAACAGAATAACAATTAATAATAGATTAATTAATTATCAAGAGGATCGTTTAATTGAATAACGAAATAATTTGTTAAGACACTCACGTTTGCTTTCATCGCCGTTCTTGAAATTTCTTACATTTTGAATGCGTTGTCATAATTAATTAGAATATATTGTAAGCTAACTATAATTGAAAGAAAACTTAGTTATGAGAGTTATTTATTTCTGATATTGTAATGTTTATTAGTATATATCAATTTTTGCAAATTATTAAGTGCGGCTTTAAAATCAAATGCGGCCTTTGAGTTAAAGAGATTGCTTATCATTACTCTATTTCATCTCGTTTGCTTTTGTAAGCAAATATTCTATTTTTTTTTTGGTCATCAAATGCAGTAGGCTTACTTTTTTGTTTAACTTTGGCCAAACTCATTGGTTTTTTTTAATTTCCTTCAAATTTCCCTGGTCAATCTTTGCAACTATTTTAGTTGGTATTATTAGAAGATTTATTTTTTTGGTTGCTTTATTTTTGGTTATCTTGCTCTATGGAACTATGATGATAGCATCCTTAGTTTTAAATTTTCCACGTTTAAAATGTGTTTTGAATCCTACTAATGAAGTTGTATTTTATAAGCCGTGCTGAAACTTTTAATTATATTCATGACCGGCACGGTTAATTACTGAACACGTATGACTTGGTGGCAACTGCAACGCCTCAAGCCAAAAGCAGAGGTGAGCAACCATTTAAAAAATAGTAAATAGTCTTGAAATAGAGTTACATTTAATTTCAAAAATCGGAAATTTAATTTATTACCAAACTGATTAGAAAAATGGGTTTGAAAACTAATTTTACTTAACACTTTCCGTCTTTTTTTTCCAAACAATATATTATAAATTTTCAGGCCATCAATAATTCAAAGATATGTGTTTCTTGCCAATGATTTAATAGTAGATTAACATATTCAATGGGCTCTGTTTACCTTGCTATTATATTTTTAATTTTATTGAGAAATGTTAACAACACCTGTTATTTTACCATCAACCATAAGGCTTTAGCTTCCTCAATGAATTTATTTATTTTGCTTGATCGTTTGTGTGTAGTTGCCTTTGCACGCATAATTCGCTATAGAAATGCATAAACAATGCAAAACTTATACGATGCGGTCGTTAAAGTCTTTTTCTTTCGCACAAACGAATATGTTTCACCATGTTTCTATGTCATCTTCCTTTGTGAGATTTCTTTACATATTTTACAAACAGATATTGAATTTGTAGTAAGAAAGGGAACAATGTTATAAAACTTTTTATGATACTGTATCGTGAATTTATTTAAATTGGTTTTATCTAAGGTAGGTAAATTTAATTTTTATTGTATTTGACAAAAAGGTGTTACTCAATTAATGTACTAAATAGTCTCAAACAATGTATAAATTTTAATAACCAAATAATTTTATAAATTTTATATTTTTAAGCGTGTTTGTTCGCAACTAATTTAATAATTTTGCAATTACTTGTGGTCAAGATTTAGCCCTTCGGGGTAGGGAGTATATTTATATGAATATAAATATCTGTAACTTATAATAACTGAGAGACTAGCAAAAGTAAAGAGAGAAGAAGGTTGTAGAGTGAAGATTAATATATATCATAAACTAAATAGTGGTCTTATTCCCATACCTTATGGTGATGGAATATTTATAATTTACAAAATTTAAAGAAAAGAAAAGAATCCGATATTTTTTATTTTTTATGGTTCGACATAGATATTGGTTTACATCGTTGTTTTTGATATTCTTTAATATTGGATTTAAATCTCAACATTTTTATTTTGAATATATTTAAATATTTTTAACACTTCCTAATTATACAATAGACAATTAGTAGCTATTTATAAATTCATTTCTACATGAAATGGGGAGCACCATAATTTATATAAACTTCGAAGTACATCGCATTAAGTGCAATATAATAATGCACTTTATATTGTTTAGTAGATTTATGAGGTAATTAACACAATTCAGAAAATTGAGGTTTATGATCCTCGTAATGTTCTTATTTCATCTTCCTGATTTTCTTCTCGGCATTAATTGGCCTCCTTGATATACCTACCTGCGGGACGGATGATGCATCAGTACGTTGCTCCCGCCAGTGGAAGGGATCCCCGTTAGATTTCCTCTGGAGCGAGGCCCGCAATGGTCATGCGAGGCTCTTGACCTTCAAACCAAACCGTGTCTTTTCTCTGTGCTTACGAATCCGTGACAACAAAGACTTGTCGTTCGTTTCTGTCTTCATTGTTTCCATTTGCCTCAATTGGATTCTTCATCATTGTCTCAAACGCGGAGCTGACGAATGAAGATGCCTGCCTGCTGATGTTAAGGGCAACTTTCTATGGCTCATGATTTGGGATAATTGATAAGTTTGATCGCCACACTAAAATGATAGCTATTACACGATTAAAGTATCTTTATAGGCTTTACCATGATTTCTTTCATACAACTGCATCTGTTAATAAAACTACTTATTACTAGTTTTTATTACTCAGCTAAAAATAAGTCGGATTTTCCTCCCTGACGATTTAAGTCCAGAGCGCACGAACCGATTTCGACAATTTTGCATTCATTTGAAAGGTCTCGGGCTCCGCAAGGTTTATAGCTAAGAAAATTAGTGGTGCATGTCATCGTGCCTTAATGCAAATTGCTGGAACTTCACGCACCGTCATTAAAAATTCGAGTAATGACATTACTGAGAATGATCAGAATTATGCTTGGTTAAGTCAACGAGCAATTCTTGCCGCAAAGAATAATGATGTACACGCACTGAATTTCACCATGCAATCAAAAATTGCTGGCGATTTGATGACATACTGATGATTCCGACTGATCTTTTGTTTGACTTCAAACGATTGCAATTTCCAGTTCGCCTTAATAACAAGTCGCAAGGCCAATCGCTTAGTGTTTGCGGGATAAACTTCAAATAGGTTATATAGAAAATCATTGTTTTTCACACGGGCAGTTATACGTTGCCTGTTCACAAGTTGGAAAACCATCCGCTTTATTTCTGTTAACGCCAGACCGAAAAACAAAAAATGTGGTTTACCAAAGAGTACTTCAATGAAACAGATAATTTGCGGATTCACTTTATTTGCTTAGAGAAGTTCAACTAAAAAACACTTCATTTTTGTAATAGAAATAAATTCATTACTGTTGTGTAATAAAATCAAATTTTTGCTTTTCAAATATAATACAAACAAAAAACTTCTTCATCTTTCTCACGAAACCATCTGGTGGCGAAACGGAGTTCGTCGGGTTTGCTAATCGTGATATATAAATGTACTCTCCTGAGTAATACGGATCTATATTAGAATCTCTATTGGTTTGAATAAAGAAACTTTCCTGGGTTTCTACACGTAATTACTAAAATATACGGTTCTTTACTGCATAATTAGTGATTCTGAGATATTTTATCTTGAAATGTATATTTTTAGTACAGCACGCATGGTGAAATCTACGTGCAATATACAAACGGAATATAAAGATAAATATCGGTATAAATCACACAACCAGTAATTCACGCGCGACTAACTCTCTGACCGCGTGGCCAACTGCAACTGCAAATCTATTGTGCACGTTCACCGTTCTCCACTTGGTGTTAAACTTAGACTAGAAGTTGGTGTCACATGAACTTTGAAAAAAGGCAACATTTATTTCTCAATTAAAATTCAATTCATCCACTATTGCCCTAAACTTTTCGGCATCATGCCACTTTTATATAAGATGACGAAGGTTGAAATTTAGGAGTTAGGTAAGTGCAGTTGATCATCATTTTGTTGAAATGATAGTTATTAAAAAAATATATTTTATTTTATAATAGTTGTGTGATGTGAGCTTCACTATTACTCCACATTAATTTTATCTGATCCTCTTTACTATGCTTATAATCAAAATTGTAATCGGGAAACTTCTAGCAAATTGTGACATACGTAATTATAATAATGGCAATAATAATAAAATTTAACTGCATAAACCGCATATCGCACAACTAATCTACCGCGATATATTTTATTACTCATTGTTATAATGTTGTTAAAGCTTTCTCTATTATCATTATTCAAACCCGTTCGAATATTTATGTTTGTGCAGAGTAAATGCTATGGATGGCTTTATTTAATGATTAACGATTAATTAATAAACAAAAATCACACACACACACACACACACATATATATATATATATATATATATATATATTTTGTAGAGTTTCGAACAAGAATCCAAAAATAATACAAAATAAAAAACAAGAAAAGTTTTTAAAAAAACAATTTCTTTATTTAATTATTTGTTTATTGTCGACGTTTCGGAACTAGGTACGTTCCATCTTCAGGACATCTGTCAAGAAACATGATCTTGATGAGATTTTTGCAAACAATATGTTTAGGAAAAGAAAATAGATTTTTCTTAAATAATGAATTAAATTGTAAAAAATATAATAATGTACAGAAATATGATAATATGTTCAAAATAAAAATGATAAAAATAAATGAGTGGATTATCAAAACAGGATATTAAACATAATAGAAAATTTTTTTGAAAGTTATGGAAATTTTTTAAGAAAAGGTTAATGACAAAGTTGAATTAATTACCTGTATGTTTGAATAATGTGTATTATTCAAACATACAGGTAATTAATTCAACTTTGTCATTAACCTTTTCTTAAAAAATTTCCATAACTTTCAAAAAAATTTTCTATTATGTTTAATATCCTGTTTTGATAATCCACTCATTTATTTTTATCATTTTTATTTTGAACATATTATCATATTTCTGTACATTATTATATTTTTTACAATTTAATTCATTATTTAAGAAAAATCTATTTTCTTTTCCTAAACATATTGTTTGCAAAAATCTCATCAAGATCATGTTTCTTGACAGATGTCCTGAAGATGGAACGTACCTAGTTCCGAAACGTCGACAATAAACAAATAATTAAATAAAGAAATTGTTTTTTAAAAACTTTTCTTGTTTTTTATTTTGTATTATTTTTGGATTCTTGTTCGAAACTCTACAAAATATACACAAATCCAAGACTCTACCATTCAATATATATATATATATATATATATATATATATATATTAGGGTGGTCCTTAAAACAGTCATTTTCGAATTTCCTTGCTCCCAGGGGCTCGAATGGTTCCAAATAGATAAAAAAACTATTCTCCGAAAGTTTTAGCTCTTAATATTAACGTTTAGATAGAGCGCAATTCAATCAAAGTTTTGTATGGAAATAGCAAGGAAAATTGTTCAAAAATTTTAAAAATGTTTTTTAGATGTAATTTAGCGAACAAATGAATGAATAAAACTCATTCATTTGTCGCTAACTTATACCTAAAATATTTTTTTTAAATTTTCAAATTTTTTTTTAATTTTTCCATGCTCTTTCCATACAAACTTTGATTGAATTGCGCTCTATCTAAACGTTAATATTAAGAGCTAAAACTTTCAGAGAATTGTTTTTTATCAATTTGGAACCGTTTGAGCCCCTGGGAGCAAGGAAATCCGAAAATGACCATTTTAAGGACCACCCTAATATATATATTAGTCCATTAATTTAATCTGTCCTTTTTTCTTTTAGCAACTATTTAGGTCTCAACAACCCCAACTAGCCGGCGCAGCATCAGCCGTAGCAGCGTCCGCCGCCAGCACACCTTTGCAGCAACTGCAAGTGCAGCAGCAATTTCTTCAGCAAAGCTATCACCAACAACCTCCTCCCTATGTTATCAATGCAGCGCCCGCAACTGGACAAGAACCCGCACTCCATATGTCGGTAAGTGATAATAATAAGTAGTTGGCGAAATTGGAAGATTACCTTGATTGATTGACTCGATCAGGCATCATGTA